AAGTACAAAATGAAAATAACACCAACTGAATTTTATGCATCCGAAACGCTTTTTTGGATTTTCTTCAATAGGAACTCTCAAAAGTTTGAAAGTCATTGATGTGTATGACCTGATTGAATAGACGTAAATAAGTTAAAGCCTTTTAAAACTAAATTGTACGACTTTTGCCCCCCAGCAGAGCTATAGAAAAACAGTACATTAACGGGTGTTACACGGACACTTTTTAGATGATACACAGACATTATTTAGTTGTTACACGGACACTTTTTATGAATAGACTCACTCGTGCATGATCCCTTAATTCATGGGCACTTTGAATTTCAATTATATTTGAACTTTTTGTTTCACAGACATATTTCCTGTCTTTTTTTTTTTTTTAAATATTTACGTTGGCATCAATTACATATTTTTTTCAAACAATTCCAGTATATTACTATTCATATCAGTACACTAAGGGGTTGACAATTTAACTTCAAAAGGGGGATTATGGTTTTTTCCTAAAAAAATATTCTGATCCCCAATTTTATGAGAAAAAATATATTGTGGTCAAGCAGATGACAAAATAATGTTCTGATTCCTGATTTTCCGAATACCGTATATAATGGTGCTAATTTCGAAAAAAAATATTTGGCGATAGCGTTGAAAAACTAAATAGTTTTCTTACTCAGAAAAAAACATACCCCCCTTTTGAAGCTAAATGGTCGGTCCGTAAATGTATTTTTTTTTTTCAATATATGGACATGAATAGTCATGATTCTGAACAATGCTAAAAGTAAAGAAATGCTGGTACCGACGTTTATATTTCAAAAAAAAAGACAGGAAATATATATAAAAAAATCAAATCTAATGAAAAGATAAAATCCCTATCAACTCACCAATGCACGATTGATCCTATAAATAAAAAGTGTCCGTGTAATACATGTTCAAATATGCAGCAAATCTTGAAGAAAATCATTCAACTTATGTCACCAATTTTGGACGGTAAGCTGCGATTGGATCATATTGTGACATGTATCAATCCTGATCAACACTATTAGAGACATATAAAAACCTGTAAGCATGAAAAATTAAAAAAAAAATCCAAAATATATGCCTATATATATATATATATCTAATAACAAGAAAAAATCCATTTTTTCTTAAAATTTCATTCACTAATGAAATAGGAAATTCATTCCTTTTATACATTTATATTGTTATTGAATTCATATATATTGAATTCATATATATTGAATTCATATATTTGGGAGCAAACGTACGATTTTTATTATTTTTTAAGGGGGAATGGGAGAATGAAATGGCACATCCTGCATTTTTTCAACAAAAAAAAAGGATCAAGCCTGTTTATTTTAAATTTATTTTACCCCGTCCTCCTTTCCGTTTAACCCCAAATAAAAATCAAATGTTAGCTTGCTTACCTCTGAAATCTTTTTCATACATTACTTACTTGCGAAGTTGCATTTTAAAAAGTTTCAAATGTGTACGACATTCATCTTTACTTGACATGGTTCTTTTTTATAAAATTATTAGATTCTTGAATTTCTTGAGAAAAAACTCTCGGTTGAAGGGAAGTGAAAAAAAAAAGTTTATTTAAACTGTAACTTGCATTGACTGGTATATAGCCATTTCCAGTTTCTAATCTGTTTAATTTTGCTACCTCTTCTAAATGCAAAATGTACTACTTCTTTCTTGAAACGTCGTACAAGTCAGATACAAAACAAAGGTAACAAAAAAAAAAAAAAAAAAACAGGCCGGACACAACTTGACTGCCGTATAGTTCTTCTGCACTTGTAGTCAGGTCAAGGTCCTCGGCTATCGCCTCGGACCTTCACCTGACTACTCGTGCAGAAAAACTATCCGGCAACGGTTGTTACCGGCCTGTTTCTTTGTTACCTTTGTATTGTATCTAATACGTATTATTCAATTAATGAATCAGAAGATAAAAGAAAATCCTTCTACATACAATAAATAAAAAGGCAATTCCTTCTACATACAATAAATAAAAAGGCAATTCTGGATTGGTAAATACAAATGATTGATCAAACTGTAAAAGTTAATTTGTAAATATATCAAAAGCATTTAAGGAAATATGTATATGATCATTTGTGAAACAGTTTGATAATAATCAACCAAATAAAAGTGGCGACCAATATATATAATTAATAAAAACGATGATGAATGCGTAGCATATATTAAAAGCACTGAATTTTTCTGTCGAAAGAAAGCCCTTGCATTTGCCTCGGTCCATTGAATAGAGAATCAATTGTATGCAGTTGACGTAGCCAAATTCACGGCTTCTCCGATAATTTTTTTTTAAACTGGTTGTTATGCAGTCAATGATTACTTATAGATGCAGTTCACACTTTAAAACATACCTTGATGGTTCCGTTATAACTCTTATATCTAACTTGATAATTGTTTTGCCTACGTTTATTCAAGAAAAAGACAAAAGTTTCAATTCTGCGTTTATTTTGTAGATGTATTCTTGTTGGTAGCAAGTCATTTCGTACCTTGACCAGTTCGTACATTGACCAGTTTGTACCTCTGCCATTTCGTACCCAAAATTACCATTTCGTACCCAACATTTACCATTTCGTACCCTATGGGCCAAATGCATCTACCATTTCGTACCTCATGGACTAAATACATGTTTACTATTTCGTATCCAGGCCTGGGCCATTACATTGCAATGTAATGCATTACATTACAATTACTTTGTGATTCTTCCATTACAATTACAATTACATTTTTTTCTCACATGTAATGCATTACATTACAAATTTCTTTTTCAATATAAAAACATTTAAAAAACAGATTTTTATAAGAAATTGATAAATATTACCGGGGTATATGTACATATATATACAGTGTTAGTGACATAGACTTCAAATACTTGAAATATAAATAAATTATCATATAATTTTGTTTCTAACATTGATCCTTTAATCATTAAGACATCATAAAGGGATTTCAAAGGGATATAATAAATGTGTCATTGAAGGATTATCTTGTTAAAATGCCTAAGGGCTCTGTGAGGACAAACATAAGTTGAGAAGATTTGATTGCAATAAAAACATTTTGATATTAATTAGGTAAAATAACAACCACAGTTTGGTGTAAAAATGTTGATTGACATATTCAATCTTTCATTGAAATACATGTTAGGTGTGTATAGAATTATGATAATTTCATCTTCATATTTTGTCCATTCATCTATATAGTTTTGTTTAATAATTATTTTTAGAAGATGTTTTAAGGGCAAACTATCTATAATGATTTAATACAGTAATTAACTGTGACAATAATGTTATTGAATATTTTCTTTTGTTTTTGTTAATATTTTATTTTTATTTTACTATATTCTTCAAATTTATGTATTTTACCAATTTATAATGAAAAGTAATGTACAGTAATGGAGGCATTACATTGATTTTTAACTAAAGTAATCATTACATTACATGTAATTGTAATGCAGAAAATGTGCATTACAAATTACTTTGCATTACATAAAAAAAAATGTTATATTACAATGCATTACAATTACAAATTACCATTACTCCAGGCCTGTTCGTATCATATATTTGTAAAAGTTATCATTTTTTCAAGATATAAAACATTTTGAGATGATTTTATTTTGTTTTAGATAACATAAATAAAATTCATCTAGCCGTTTCTGTCAGGAAAAGCAGAGAAAAGGGACACAAGCTTATATAATATCTCATAGGTGCTTTAATTATAAATTTTAGGCATTTCTCGTGCATATAAATCTTCCACGAGGTACGAAATAGTATACGTACAAATCTTCCATGAGGTACGAAATGGTATACATATAAATCTTCCATAAGGTACGAAATGGCTCACATCAATGAGACAGTTTTTACCAAGAAATCAAAAACATATAAATCTTCCATGAGGTACGAAATGGCATACATATAAATCTTCCATGAGGTACGAAATGGCATACATATAATTTATAAAATTTCCATGAGGTACGAAATGGTATACATGTAAATATTCCATGAGGTACGAAATGGTCAAGGTACGAAATGGTTATTGCCAGGGTACGAAATGGTTATTGCCAGGGTACGAAATGAGGGGTACGAAATGGTTAGGGTACGAAATGACTATAACTCTTCTTGTTCATTATATAGTTCCTCACATTTGTTTAATTTGATTCCATACTGAATCATAGAAAAACTGGTTTGAACCGCCCTCCAAACGACCCAAGATTTTGTTATGGGGAATACCTAAATCGCATACATGCTAAACTTCACATCCGTAAAAATTGAATTAATGATGGTTTGTTCTATTTCTCCACATTTTTAGAACAGTTTGACAATAGTCCATGCTTACCATGCATTTTGTAAGAAATGAATGCCTGTAATATATTTTAATTGTTTATTTTTACAAGTTGATTTTTTGTGGACGTCGCATGCGACGTTTCCATAGATTTTTTTTTTTTTACTTCAACAGCGAATATTTAATTCAATTTGTGTATATTAAAATATGTTTAGCTATGTCGAAAGACGTGCATAATGTCAAATTATAAAAATTATACGAATTGATTAATCTTAAAGAAAACCTATAAGATATCTACTGCTGTTTTTTTTCAAAATGGGTGCAAATTAGGTACTCGGTGTGGGTACTGTGACGTTATAGGTGTAAATTTCATTGTATCTCATCACAATGCGAAGCTATAAGTTTCAGTCAACGTACATGCCATCTTGAAATTATTACTAAGCAACAGTTAGTTCTGATTTGTTTCTTATAGGTGTTGCTTCGATTCTATTGGCTTGAATGATTTATAAAATTGGAAGGGGAGATGAAATAATATACGGATGGTCTGACAGTATGGGTATTCGAGACCCAGGCATGTTGCTTTATGATCGCATATTGTTGGATGCGCTGATAGCCAAAATTTGTACTTTTATTATAACGCATTTACTTTGCCATAATTTGTTTTGCAAGATTAGTTTTATTCACATTATCTTCTATGTATGATGGGTAAGTTGTTAATATCATATCTTCAGTCATTACATATGATATAAGAAAATGATAACTCTGTTCACTAAAACATTTATTTTTTTTTTAATTATAAAATGATTTTTATTTGTAAAAGTACTGTTTTACTATACAATGTAGAATGTATGGATCTTAAACGGCAAGTAAAAAACCAAGTACAACAAAACAACCCACACATATAACGTCAACATTATAGTATAAACCTCGGAACATGATACATTCAATGCATCAATTTATTGGTTACTCTCACTATACACTTAAAGTGATGATGAAGTTGAGATTATCCAAACAGAAATATTCGAATTCATTAGAGATTAAAAACATTCTGTCAGAATTAACAATTATGCGTGTCAGTATCCGTCTGATGAGTTAATCCTTTTTCAACTGATTTTTATAGTTTGTTCTTATGTTTGTACTGTTACACCACTGTCCCAGGTTAGAGGGAGGGTTGGCGCCTTCAAACTAGTTTAACCCCGCCACATTCTGTATGTGCCTGTCCCAAATCAGGAGCCTGTAATTCAGTGGTTGTCGTTTGTTGCTGTGTAACTTATTTGTTTTTTGTTCATTAGTTTGTTCATAAATTAGGCTATTAGTTTTCTCGTTTGAATTGTTTTACATTTGTATATCTTGCACTCTTACAATATCCACCGCTGTAAACTGTTTTGTTCATATCTTAAACGACATTTCCTGTAAAAAAATGAATTATACAGTTTTTATCATTCTCTCAGAAAAAAACCCGATCATATTTCAAAGTTTGGGGAAGTCGATCTTGACATATTCAAATGTATTTGATCAGAAATAAGAAATAAAACATTTAAAAAATCCATACTTTTGGAAGACAGTCCAATAAATGTTATAGAGTCTTTACAATCATCATCTTTTGTGATACTATGAATCAGTGGTTTTGATCCTTGTTTTCATTTTGTTATACATTTATTTTTAATTATCTTATCCTTCTATTCTTTTTACTCCTTTTAATGAAACAATCAAGGATGTAATCTAAAATTTTCTTTAAAAGCAATTTCCCATTTCTAGATCCTAAATTTTTAATGAAATCATGATAAGCCTTATTTTACTTTGCTTATCATACCTGTAAGAATTGTCACGAAGTTTCATATCGTAGATAGCTTTGGAAACATAAGATACACCATCTTTACTGCAGATTCATCCATGAGAAATCGGTATTAATCATACGCATTTTGTTAATGCCTCAAATAGAGATTTTAAATTAAACGTGAGATTTTTCATTACTTTATTTTGTTTCCTACAGACAGAGATGATAAGGCTCAAGAAATAATAATTGAGAAGCTTTCAAGAATTGATTAACGACAGACGTTATTTGTGCTTAGCAATAATAGAGATTCAGTTTTCCAAAGACTTCTGCAGGTAATTAGACCCTGGTAATGTAGCTTAACCAATGAAACTCCCGTAAATATTCAATACTAGGTTTTTTGATAGGCTTATATGAAAAATCTCGTATTAAAGAGGTGAAAACGAGAGAGAAAATGTCAGTGTGGATATAATGCGCTGTTAAAACTTTGGTTAATACAGTGATAACTATCGTCAAGCAGGTAACGTTGTTACATATATCGATTTATAAATAATTAGTTAAACAATTCTAAATGGTCGCATGGAAAATAAAGTCAACAATGTAAATATGGTTAATTCAGAAGTATGAATACAACTGAAGAATCAACACATGTGAAGTGTGAATTTTGGGAATCACCATCTGTTGGAATTACAATTATTTTCTGCCATTTTATAATAATTTCTTCATCTATTGTTGGTATGGCGGCAAATTCGTTAATATTATACTGCATTAAAAGACTAAAGTCGTTAAGAACTTCTGCCAATGCAACGCTAATAAACAGCTGCATTATAAATATTTTGGGATGTTGTTTTTTGCTACCATTTCGACTTATAGTTTTGGGAATGTTTATCGATGAACCTCTTATTCTCAGTGGATTTTGTAAATCGGTTACTTTCTTTCGATCGTTTTGCGAAATATTTCAACTGTCGATGTTAGTAACTATAAGTTATGAGCGTTATCACGCAGTTTTGCTACCGTTTGAAAAGGAAAGTAGAGTAAAGCGCGTTGTGACCTTGATAGTTTTGTCTTGGTGCTTAGCTATAGTTTACAGCACAATTTCTACAGTATTTCTATTGGACAGTTCTATATACATTATTTGTAAGCAAGGTCAACCTCATTTGGACAGAAATTGGGTAAATTATGATTGCTTTGTTAGTTTCCCGTTTGGATGTTTGTGTTTTATATCGGTACTGATATTTTACACTTGTATAATCAAAGCTCTATTAAAACAATCCAAGAAAATGTTGAGTCATTCTAAAGTAAGGAATAGAAAAGTTCATCCTACTGAAAGTAATGTAAATATGACTACTTCGGTAGCTGCATTAAAGACTCCTGCGCATACAAGTGTGCCGAAAACGGATGCTATTAAAACGAAAACTGCTGTAGACACGCCATCAGTTCCGGAAATTTCTATCAACGAACTACATGTTGGTAATGGAAATACAAAAGACATGAAAGATGTGTTACAAATAAATGATAATGAGAGTATGCTGAAACCAAGTATTTTATTAAGCAAATTGCCTAGCATAAATGAAACGTGTAGTAGTGGTCAAAACTTAAAATCTAAATCTTTGGTAGTAATATCTTCTTCTTCGGAAATTCAAGATACAAATCTATCACCAGCAAGAGAAAAACTTGACAAACCAAATGATGAAAATATCAGTATTTCAAATTGTTCAGATAAACTGCATGAGCAAAGAACATACGAAATTTATGAAGCTGACGGAACAATCAGGGTGGAGAAAAACAACAACGATCATGTTGTAGGAGCAGTATGTGTTTTCAATCCGAAAAATAGAGAACATGGAAAACGAAAACTGGAAGCCAAAATTGCTAAACACTTTGCCATTGGAATAGGTTTGTTTGGATTAGTTTGGATACCATTTCCTGTTTTTATTCTTATACATTTTAATACAGTTACGTTATCGGAGGCAGAATGTCATGTTTTAGCCGTTCTTTCGACATTTTCATTAACAGTGTATACAGTAAATCCGTTAATTACAATTTTTATGAACGGAAAAATAAACGCTGAATGTAAGAAGATCTTAAAATATTTAAATGTATTTGATAAGAAATAAGAATTAAAAAATAAAAAAAAAAAACAACATTATTTTATTTTATTATCATGGTTTAAAGCATTTTACAAAAAGGTAATATCTTAAAGAATTGAAATGAAATAAGAGAAGAAAAAGACAAACGGATCATTGCTATGCAGGGAAATTTGGCTTTTTAAATATATCTTACCAAACAAACAATTAATATATATGGTATTACTTTTGACAAATAAAAATAAAAACTGTTGGCGGTAAAAATCACCTATATGATTTATATGAGCAGGCAGTTGAAATATTTTTTATCAGTTGAAACATAATCAGAAAGATAACATTAAACATTGAAATGATTAAACAAATCACATATACAACAAGGATTTAGAGTTATTGCATGAAATTACATACTCCAGAACCCTTATAGCCAAGATAGGAAAAGAACAAACGTATTTAACACACCTGCAGCGAATTAAAAAAGGGTTGAAACATAACTGCTAATCCATTTTGGTAAACTTTCTTGAAAGAGTTTAAAAAAATAAACAAAATGATTGTATTGTTTGTAAGCTTTGCCAGTACTGGTCGTACTTGTTATACCATAAACAAAAAATGCAATGACGAATTTCAAGAAGACATCAACGGATAATGCATGGACCCATACTCTTTCAATGGTGTAATAATAAGAAATATTTAACGAGAGGATTTTTTTTAAGTTATCATGGCCTACACCCTTAAGGCCTCGAATAGTATCCGTCGAATGAGCGTATGATCCATCAAAGTTAGTGCCGCTTAATGTTATCATTACTGCTAGGTTCACATCTCTGTTCCTTGATTTTTTGGTCGCAGAAGAAATTATCAGTTCATTTTCTCAACTTTACTGCTGGAATGAAAGATCTAATATTAACAGTATTAAATAAACTCGCATTGATGACATTATAAAAATGCATATATGAATCGGAATTGATAATCATCCCCGTCATGTATAACTTATATTTCTTACTTGGTTTGGCTAATCAGTGGCAAGAGTAGTTTTCTAATGCTCATAAATTCAATAAAAAGATACAAATCAAGGTAAAAACAAAAAATGAGTTCAAAAGCAGAGAGATCTTATGCGTCGACAGGGTAAGTGTTTCCTGCTATGCATGCAACAGCCGTCACGCGAATCCCACACTCAGTCAAAATGTCACAATCGGGATTACGATATAATCTGTAAATTTACAGATAAGACGACTACTCTGTTTCAAAAACCACAAAACATGTCGCATATATATGAGTTCAGACACATTATGTTTGGTCTTTTGCTGGTCGATTCATTACTTTAGTATTTGGGAACTTTCAAAATAATTTATTGTCGAGGATTATCCTGAATTGCTACTCTTAGTCGTCAAAATTCGAACGATTTAATATGTCGATCATTGCTATGTATTTTATTCTGATGCTAAACTCTGGGTATTATAACACCATATAGAAACAATCAATAAGAACCTTAGCGACAAAACACGAAGAAGTAATGAAAAAGACGTACCACTTACGTTGGTAGAAAAAAAGGTGACATAATTTCTTTCTGGTTTGATTATATTTTCCTGTTCCATGTAAATCGTGAATTTGACTGATGCAAATATGTAAATATGCCTACCCTGCTAGTTAACGGATATGAGCAATTATGAGATCCATAATTTGCGTTATCAAAACATTCAATACTGTTAATACCGGGCTTATAATTAAGTACGTCACATACTTTAATACACGTGAGACTCACTAATGACGCTCGAATCAATTCAAACCAATTGGAAGGTCAAATACTGATAATATAATAAATAATGAAATATTCATTCTGCATTGGAGATTTAAAAAGGTTCTAAATGTTCTCAATTAAATTATGTTGAATTGTTATTGGTTATATTCATACCACAGCATCATAATACAAGGTTAAAATCTCTTGAACCCTGATTGTGCTAAGTGATTATATTAGACGTTTAAAACTTTTTGTTTCCGCTTTGTGTTATCTGAAAATGAAGATAAAATATGACACACAGTATTTTAAAAAGGAAAATATGTTATTTCATTTCTTTTGCATATCATTTGATAAATATGATTTAAAATACTTCATTTATTCAATTTTATCAACTCCTTTAAGGTTGAACTTTGGTTATTATAAATGGGTTGGGATTTTTACCACGAAATCTGGTCAATCAAATACAAGGACATAAAACATATTTTTTCTATCATAGTTCCTGCTTTAAATAGAAAGAATCAATTAAAAATCTCCCCAAAGATATCAAGGCTTTCAATTTTTATTCATTATACGCTCGTTTGGCTACACACGAGCGTCTACATGGAATGTTTATCATGCAATTACTTTGGATTTTAAATATATTTTTTTCACTACACCTTTCAATTGTAACAAAGCTTAATTCAATACTAGTATTTTATTTAAAGCTATTCCGACCATTAACGTCTTTAGTAGTAAACTTTTAATAAAATTGCCATGAAATAACTTTTCAATATTTTTCGTGTAGGGGAATATGATTTATCAAATAATACCAATTTATACCAAACGTGTCTCCAATTATCTATTAAGTATCTACATATGAATTATTGTGTTTATTAATCCTTTAAGGTTTAACCACAATGACCGTCATATTATTGATATCCGTCAAGCAACCTTTTATGGCTACCCCTGTAAAATTTAGATCTTAGATTTTGACATTTAGTCACAATGTAAGCTAATTACATCCAACGATCAAAAAGAGCCTGTACGTTATAAACTGTGTTGTCACAAAGGTCCATTTTAAGTATTGCTATACTCTGTCATTGTCGTCTATCGTTGTCTGTCGTGATAAACTCTACAATATCTTTGAAATAACTGGCTCATTTACATCGAAGTCCTAAAGGAAGTATTAAACTTAATATAAATATCTTGTTGAAGAATGGACAAATCCCATTGGAACTTAAATAAAAGACACCAACGACACAGCTAGGTATCTTCCATACCTTTCTAAATTGTTTAATTTCTAGCAGCCACACTGCCGCCATCGTATATGGATTATCATTTTATTCCATGTAAGTCTTTCAACTTTACGGATCACCTGACTTCATGTGCGATTTTTGGTTGGGTTCTTTGTGGCCCAATCATTGGTTTCATGTATAGTATTTTTTATGTTTCTTTTTTTTTGTCTGTTGTACTTTTGATCACTTTTGATTTCTATTATACCCTTTGCATCTTCTTACTTTCAGAATACTCATATTTTCATTCTGACATACTTTGTTACAACATGGTCAAACTTGTACCCATTACTCTTTACATTATCTATCACAGGATTTTAAAACATTTAGCATTATGAACAGGAAAATTGCTCAAAAATAAAAACAAAGACCTTATTAACTGAAAGGTCTATTATCTACTGGTAAAACACAAATAAGTTACTGATTGGTTCCGATGATCTATATCAATAATAGAAAACATGACCAAGATAGCATTATTTTGTTCTCTCATTTGGACACCTTCGATAGGTCGTTAAATATTGCATGAAGTACATCTTAAGGAATCAATAAAGCTGAGAATATCTAAGTGGTTATAAAGACCCACATTTGCCGAGAAACTGTCATATCACTTGAACAAGCTGACAAAGTCAATGGATGTATATTAAATGTAAAAGTCACTATATGAAATGCTCATTTAGATTATGTATCAGATTTGGAAACTAAATATAACCATTATCAGTTTTGTAGTTGTACAAGATTTTAGACTTCTCCACTCTTTACATTAAGTCGTCCAAGAAAAAATATAAGAATGACATAAGACTGAAATAGATTAGTTTTTTTTTGAAAAATGGCAAAAGACAATATGTATATATGGTTCAAGGCAGAAACCATACATCGTTTGTCGCGTACCACACTAATAAAGATTTCTTTAAATTTCTGAAGTTTTCAATCGATTACGACTTCCTAAAATTCAGTATATAGGATTCCTAGCAGTCGATTGGTGATCTGTTGTCCAAAAATTTTAACAATACTCCCTATTTGCAAGATTAATAGATGTATTTTTACCTTTTTATATATTTTGCCTGCAATGTTCAGTAAAGATAAATGATAATTTCTATTTTATGTATTAGGTGAATGCACTTAAACTAAATTTATACCCCGTCAATATTGACCTAGACGGGTTTGTCTGTTAGGTATAGGCTATTCTGTTTGTAAGCTCTCAAAAGTCTTATATTATTGGCCTTCCGAACTGTAATTATGATGGTAGATTTTGCCAGAAACGTGCGCAAGGAAATGAATATCAAACATTTTTAAGGAAATAGTTCTTCAAACACAATCATATGGCGCAGAATGTATCCATGACCAACCCCTTCTTTCACTAAGAAAATAAGAAAAGAAGTTATATGAACTTTTTAATTGATAAGTTTAAAGATAATCTACATCAAATCTAGTCAAGAAAGCTAGAAAAGCTAGAAAGAAATCAAACTTTAAAGACTTATCGGTGGCGCTCGAATCAAAACGCTTGCAAATTAAGTACGAGGTTGAAGAGCATTGGAAACAAAAGTGTTCAAAAAGTTGTGGCAAATACGACTAAAGCCTTCTTTATCTGGACCAGAAAACCTAAGCATTTTCCCAGGTCGAAACCCATTGTGAAATTATAAAATATCTTCTCTTAACATAAAAAATATTAATTGTAAAAAAACCAACAAGAAATAAACAAACACATCGACTGACGTTGTTGATGACATTTGACAGGAATATCTAAATAATATGTTCCGAGATTACCATTATTTGAAATCCTCAGATTTATTTTTTCTCCCCCAATGAAATACAAAATACAAAAAACTCACGGTGGTAAAACAATCAATAACCTTAAGTGCAGAAAATCACGTGACATAAATACAAAGGACAAACCATAAAATAATAAAAACAAGGCAACACAAAACAATTTTACTTCAAAGACCACTTTGAACTTCCTGAACGCTAGTTCAAAGTAATAATGAACATAAATTAACGTTTGCATTTATAATTATGAATCCCTGACACATGTTGTAAATACTAAATCTAGAGATTAATCAAACCAATGTTGTAAAAGAACATCAATAGCTAATATATATTTTTATACACATAACGAGCGTATTTGCACGGAAATCATATCAAAGGTTTTTCTCAATATGTAAACTTTACAATAAATCACTACTAGATAATTTTTGAATGTACTTATAAATTAAGGATGAATACCAGTACTATTTTAAGAAGCTGTTTTTGTCAATAGGGAATTGGACGTTCAAATTTATAATTACGAATCCCTGACA